CCCTGAAGACACTGTGGTTCTACCACTGACACCACGGGTTTCTGACACTCTAACACCTCTACTGGCCCATGCCAGACCCTACAAACCCCACCTGCACCCCAGTGTTCCTGCTGTGGGCTGTGACAGGTGATTATCTATGAATCATCAGCTGTGGGTGCACTGTGGTCGCTGCATGATTCTCACACAACCACTCAGAAGATGTCAGGCAGAGGCAGTGGGGTGGGGAGAATTCATGGAAAGCCATCAGTCATGAAATGTATAAACGCAGAAAGCTTAGGGTTGCAGGCCCAGCCCACCTCCTTCCTCTCCTGGAGGTTAAAAGGCAGCAGGGACAGAGCTCCAGAAACTCAGACCTGGTCACCCTCCCAGGGAAGATGCAGCGACTCCTGATCCTGTTGGCTTTCTTTCTACCTGCCAGGATGAGGGCAGGTAAGTGGACATCAATCTCTTAGTGGCCCAGTGTTATTCCACAGCAGGCACAGATACCCCATCTCTTCTGCACATAGTCTCTGAACATCAGCTCTAGTCTTTCCACGGAAATCAGGTATGACAAGATATGTTATTGGTGGGAGCAGGAGGGTGGCAGGCTTTGAGAAGAGAACCTGGGTGCTTTTCCCTGCCTAGTGCCACCCTTGTTATCTGGAAAGCAGAGCTTTCCAAGAAGAATATGGTAAAGGATGGGAATCTGAAAAGCAGAAAACATTAGATTCTCCTGGAGCAGGCAAGGTGGGCCTCGCCTCTGTCTGTGATAAGTCAGGTTTTCGGTATTCGTGGTATACCTGAGTGGAGCTCAGTGACCTCAGAATTGATGGGATCACTGTCCTCAGAGCTGAATCCCACACCACTCGGTCCCTCTCTGCAACTCTGTGTTCCCCAGGCCTCAGTGGTTTCCTGGTTTCAAGCAAGAGCCCCTGTGCCAGGGCCTGACTCCTCTGCTTTCTAGAATCCCAGAAACCTCCCTAGTCAGGAGGGTGTTCATCATGCAGCCAGTGACCTTTACTGAGCACCCACTTCGTCAGGCCTTGGGAAATAGGACGCCACAAAATGTAAACTGAGATTAGTCCTGGCCACTAGAAAGCAGCCCTGGCTCAGCTGCTGTAAACTCAGGAGAGTCTTAAAACTCCGGGAAGAGAAGTCAGAAGGGCCTGAGAAGCCCCTGGGATTTCACTGTCCAGAGATTGGAACGCTCACCAACAACTATCTGAGTAAAGATTTGCAGACCAAGTACTGCCTTTCTCCCCTTTTGCAGAGG